CTCGCCTCCCTCTTTTGGATGAAGCCGCAGACGTTGTCACTCTCGTTGGGAAAATGAAAACTCCCAAACCAAAATGCTCAGAGCCACGCGAGCAATAAAAATAGAATCCTTGAACATGTCTTCACTGCACTTCAAGGACGCGTGGAAAGTTCAGCTCCCGGGGAGGGAGGGGCTCCCGCTGCGTTGCCATTAACCCCAATTAGCTCTTAACCCCCAGCTCCCCACAAGGACAGCCCTGTAGTCTGGGCATCAGTTTCCTTGACCACTTAGTCTTAGAGTAACCTCCAGGGGTGTCCAGACCACGCAGCTGTGCCATCGGCACACTGCCCCCTGCGCCCCAGCTAGCCCCGACCCCCAGCCTGCCTCGCTGTGTGTCGGAGTCCGCAGTCAGCCCCCGCAGGTCAGCACTCGCCATGCAACCTTCTAAGACCTGTTGCTTCCTCGCCCTGTTACAGAGCGAGGGAAGGCGACCCGCTGGCAGGAGGGGTGAAGGGGAAGCCAAGGCCTGAATTCTTGGCTCCTGGAGGCTCCATCTCATGACACGGGAGCCACAAACAAACCCTTTATTTTCACAGGGAAATAAAACTGGCCATCGAGCAAGTCAGCTTCAGTTTTATTTATTTTTAATATATTTTTATTGATTTCAGAGAGGAAGAAAGAGGAAAAGAGATAGAAACATCCATGAGAGAGAATCATTGATCGGCTGCCTCCTGCACACCCCCCACTGGGGACCGAGCCCACAGCCTGGGCATGTGCCCCTGACCGGAATCAAACCCGGGACCCTTCAGTTCGCAGGTCGATGCTCAATCCATTGAGCCAACCCGGCCAGGGCCAGCCTCAGTGTTAGAGGCACCACGGAAGCAGTGCCTTCGCGCCTCATGGCCACTGCTGGCCTCACGACCGTTGGCGTTCGTCCCCAAGGATGCTGCCCATGGCTCACGTCTGGGTCAGGGGACGGGCTGGGAGGAATAACCCCAGCTGACTGTCCTGTCTTCTAGAATATTCCCTCACGGGTACTTGTTGCAGAAGGTAATTGGTTACCGTGCTTAGGGCATTTGTCCTGTGTCGTGGCCGTCACTGTAGCACGTCCTTCCCTTCTATCTTCCCTTTCCTCCAAGAACAGCGCGCTCTCTGTCGCCTCCCCCCTTGAGGGGAGAGATATGGACTGCGTACAAGGGGACCTGCAGCCCTCGGCTGCGACCCGATCCCGGGACAGCTTGGACGCGGCGGGGTGGTCCGCAGGAGCAGCTGGAGAGACGGGGCCGAGGCTGATGCGATGAATCCGCAGGCGGAAGGCGGGGCCCTGAGGGTGTGCAGTCTGTTCGCTGGGGTTCAGTTGGGGATTGACTCCTAGTTTAAGTTTCCGTTTTGTTTCTCTGACCAGGGAAAGATGCAGAGGAATTTGGGGGTGGGGAGAGAGGCATCGAGCTGCTTTGCTTTTGTGCTGATGTTGACACGCGCACCCCAGCTTTCGCATTTTGTGCAGTTAAGCAAGGACACAGTGCGTGCCTGTCCTGGGCTCTGGGTGTGCAACAGGACTGAGTGGCGGTGGAGCCTTCCCCCCGCAGTGCGGTGGGCTGTAGGGGCAACACTCAAGTCGGAGGGAGGCAGGTGGGGGACGCAGCTCCGTCTCAGCAGGTCTGAGCTGAGAGCCCCTGACTTACAGATCCACCTCTTAGGGAGCATCGCGTATGGCTCCCATTCCCTAGTGGGTGCTGGCTTTTTATTTCTTCTTTTTTAAAAGGAAAGGGCCGCATGTGGCTGTACTACGTTCGAGATGAGTTCTGTCCCTTGTGCCCCGCCCCCTTTCTTCCTGAAGACCTGGCAGCCCGGCGCTGCTGCTCTGGATCCTCCGTCCTTCCCCAGTCGGAAGCAGCCCTGCCATTGCCCAGCCGGCTCTGGCTCATTTGCAGAGGACACCTGTTCCGCGATGAGCCCCAGCTTGTGCCGTGCGTCTGGGCCCGGGCGCACTCTGGTGTGGGAGCCAGCGGCCGCGTGCAGGGGCTGCTGTGCGGCAGGCGGTCTGGGTGCACTTCCTCCGAGTGGCCCTGCACCCACCCTCCCCCGCGGCACGGTCAGCCTGTGGTCCTGAGCATTAAAAGAAAAAGAAACCGCATCCCAGCTGCCGCCCAGCCATGGATGTCGCAGCTGCTGAGCAAACGGGGCTCCCAGAAGAGCCCTTCACCACCTGTTCCCACTCGGAGGCTAGAACTGGACACGGAGTGCCCGGCGCAGGCAGGGGCGGGCCCTCGTCTGCGGGCCTCTCAACTCTCCTCCTGTCACTGCACAGGCACCTCACGGGCAGCTCTTACTCTGCCTCCTCGAGATGAGATGTGTCCCTACGTGTGGTCTCTTTAACTAGAGCAGCGGTTCTCAACCTGTGGGTCGTGACCCCTTTGGGGGTCGAACAACCCTTTTACAGGGGTCGCCTAAGACCATCGGAAAACACATATATAATTACATATTGTTTTTGTGATTAATCACTATGCTTTAATTATGTTCAATTTGTAACAATGAAAATACATCCTGCATATCAGATATTTACATGACGATTCCTAACAGTAGCAAAATTACAGTTATGAAGTAGCAATGAAAATAATTTTGTGGTTGGGGGGTCACCACAACATGAGGAACTGTATTAAAGGGCCGCGGCATTAGGAAGGTTGAGAACCACTGGGCTAGCGGATGCTCTCGTGGGCTGGGTCCCGTCCGACAGGCTTATATGAATGGCCTCCTGGTTGGTAGGGTCTGGATAAACCTCTGCTGGGAGGACGAAGGTGGGTTCGGCAGGAGGTGGCCTCCTGGAGGAAGGGCCTGGTCAGCCTGCGGAGGCGGAATCCCCTGCCTGGGGCTGGCTCTGCTCCTACTGCTCCCCCCACCCCCCATCCCCATGTTTACATAGCGGGACTTTCTAAAGCCCAGTCCTGAGCCTTCAGAGGTGAGAGCTGCCCTCTCGTGTAGGCCACCCCCAGGAAACCCCCAGCACCCACAGCCGGAGCGCCCGTTTCAGTGGGAGACATCACAGGTCGGAGGCGAAAGGCTGACCACCTCGCCCCGGGCACAGTAGGCGTCCAGGTCAGGCCACGGTCACTGGGGGACTCTTGTGCCCAGTGGCTTCGTATGTGTCTTCCACATGACAACCCCTCCCTTCCCTCAGAAGGAAGCTCATCGGTGGACGGTCTCCCTGAAGCCGTCACTTTCCTAAATGACTCGCTGACGGCGCTGCTCACAGACTTGCTCGCGAAGCGGGGGGTGATCCCGCCCCTTCCTGGCCCCCAGCCCCCTCCCTGGCCTGATGAGACGCTCTGTCTCCCGGAACAGAAGCAGATCTGCTGCTGGGCCCCAGCGGAGCGGAAAGCTCTTGCCAGAAGCCTCCCAGCCCCGTGGACCATGGCCAGGCCCGCGACCCCCGCTAATTAGAGCCTTCTCAGCCGCCACTTTAGTCCTTCCTGCCATTCACTCGCACAGTGATGACGGGCTTGGATAAGAGGTCTCAGCTTGTTCCACATCCTGCTCTCCGGGCCACGGGGGTGGTGGAGGGGCGGGCTCGGCCCCCCTTCTGTGGGGTCCCGCCTGCCTGGCACAGGGCAGACCCCGCAGCTGCGATATGTTCACCCAGATCACAGGACCGGGCCGGCTCCCCAGGGTGGGCCCCGCTCCCCACGCTCGCCTTGGGAGCCGGCTGGCTGCGTCTCTCTGGCGAGTGTCATTAGCATTAACGTGGTAAAATGGCACCGTGTAAATGTTAATAAGGTCTGATGCCGCCGCCGCTTCCGAGTGGCAGATTGGAAATGGTGCCATCAGCGCAACGCCAACCAGCGGCGTTTAATTCCTCTCTCCTTGAGCACCCAATTTGGCGTGGAAATCCTGCCCTCCCCCTCCCAGCCCCAGGCTCCGCGGTGCCGCGTGTACCCCATTTTCTTTTGCAAAGAGGATTCGCATTTCCCTGTTAAGACAGGCTTTGGATTTCTTCATTTTTTTAAAGTAAACATTCGCTCTCCCCTGTTCTCCCAAGAGAAAGAACCGAGGAGCCCGCAGTGCCCCCTCTGGGTCCGGCTCCCCACTCCCAGACTCTCCACGCCCCCTCCCGGAAGCGGCCCGGCTCTTCTGGGGCTGGGGTCCTTCTCCGAGGACCTGCCCTGGAAGCCAGGGGCTGTTCTCCCTGCTTCCCCTTCTCTGTCAGGTAAAAACATTGCTGGTTGCCCGGCTGGCGTGGCTCAGTGGTTGAGCCTCGACCTATGAACCAGGAGGTCACGGTTCGATTCCCAGTCAGGGCAAATGCCCCCTTACGGCTCGATCCCCAGTAGGGGGTGTGCAGGAGGCAGCTGATTTGTGATTCTCTCTCTCCCTCTCCCTTCCTCTCTCTGAAATCAATAATATTTTTTTAAAAACACACACACAAAACATCGCTGGTTAATGACATCCTGATTGAGCCTTTCCTCTGAGCCCTTCAGAATGGCGCCCCCTCCCCTCCACTGTGTTGTCAGGACCCTGCCCCCTCCTCCCAGGAGGCCTTGAGTGCCCGAGGCAAGGCGAGGCGTGGCTGGTGCCACTTCCCACCCTCCTCTTCCTGCCGCCTCAGACCTAATCCACGCTCGGGCCCACTCAGTGCCAGGCCGTGCCTCCCTCGTCAGTGTTTGCTGAAGATAAGTGAATGGGTGACGTCCCCAGGGTGTCGCCTGGGACTTGCCTGGAAACCCCTTTCCAGAAGCCTCAGGACAGTGAGTGTGAGGACGGGCAGAGAAGCGTGGCTCTGGCTCCTGTGCGCATGACACAGGAAATTCACACGGATGCTGTCTGATCCCGGGGAGCCTCTGCAGTCCAGGTGCACCTGGGTCAGGACTGGCCCGGCCCGGGGCAGTGGCTGCGTGAACAGTGTGTGCGATACACACTCACACTCACACACACACACACTCACACACACACACACACACACACACACGGTGTGCCTGGTGCGGCCCAGCCCCTGTGTCCCTCTCACTCCTGTGTTTGTCGCCCAGGCTGTCTTCACTCTCCTCCTGGGACCCTTCACCTTCTTCGACGTCCAGAAGACCAAATACCTGCAGATCCTGACCTCCCTGATGCGATGGGTCGGTGAGTCTGACAACAGCTCCATCTCTCGCTTCTCCCCTCGGCCCTTCCTTCGCCCTCCGAGACAGCCAGGAACATGGTGCAGGTTCTGTGGGCTCCCCCCAACTTGGGACAAGGAGGGGCCGTGCTCCACCTGCCTTCCTACTGGTGGGGAAATTCAGTCCCAAAAAGTTACGTCACTTCACGATCAGGTAGTGTGGACGGAGCTGGAGCCAGGCCTGGGACTGCGGAGTCTGGGACCAGCCTCTTTCACACGCCCACGCCGATCCCTCCTCACCAACCTGGACTGGAGGCTGGACCCCTGAAGGCCTGGGTCAGGGCCCTGCTCCCTTCGGGCATGAGAGCTGTGCCATAAACCAGCGGGCGTGGCGCCCCTCCATCGCATCTCCAGCCACCAGGGTGTGAAGACCCCTCATCCACAGTGCCCTCTGACTGCCTGGCTCCCCTCTGAGCAGGAGCACTGCTTTCCTGGGTTGGGGGGTCTCCCCTTAAATCAGGTGTGTGGTGGGGTGCTCATTCATTCCTCCACTGCATCCTGCCAGCCACCCTGGCGCCCGGGCTGCTGACCACCTGGACCCAGGACAAGAGGGTGTGGGCTCCCTGCTGCCCCCTCTGCTGGCACGTGCTCTGGGACCAGTTGCACGCTTGTTTTTTTTTGTTTTAATATATATTCTTATTGATTTCAGAGAGGAAGGGAGAGAGAGAGAGAAACATTAATGATGAAAGAGAATCATTGATTGGCTGCCTGTACACCCCACACTGGGGATCGAGCCCGCAACCTGGGCATGTGCTTTGACCGGGAATCGAACCCATGACCTTCTGGTTCATGAGTTGACGCTGCAGGCTTGTTTTGATCTAAAAGCAAAACTCACTGTTGCTGTTCTGGTGGGGACTCCCCCTTCCTGTGAAAGAGGATGGTCCCAGACTCCCTCTGACCCCCATCCCCCGCTCCCTCTCCCAGGCACCACCCCTCATCGCTCCGAGATTCTGGCACCTGCAGTCCCCTGGTCCCCACTCGCGCTGACAGACCCCAGCGTAAGGGGACTTCTGCCTCACGGGAGTCCTGGCATCTTCAGCTGGAAGGGACGTGGCCGGGCTCCAGGCCAGCCCACCCTGCAGGCCATGGGGATGGGAGCTCCCGGTGGGAAGGCTCCCACGCGCTCAGAGCTGCTCAGTGGGGTTCTTAGTCAGTGCTGGGAGTTCTGCCTTGGCGTGAGCCAGACCCCCCAGCCTGTAACTTCTTCCCGCTCTTGGTCCTTCCTTGCAAGGGAATGGGCGCGGGGCTGAGTGGTCTGGAGGGTGAGCTTTGGGGCCTCTGTAACTGGATGAGCCTGTCCGTCAGCCTCCATCAAGATGAGGGACAGGAGGACACCTGGGTGACATCTGGGTGAAGCGCGATTCCTGTCTGCCCCGTCATGGGTCTGAGCTGTCCTCACCCGCAGGGTGCTGTGTACACGTTTCGTTCACAGGCCCCACAGTCCTGGGTGAAATGAACGCGACCACCTGGGGAATGAGCACGCGTTGCTTAGAACATGAGGGTCGCGCCAGCTCCAGGGCACGGTGTGGGCATGGAGCCTCCCTGGGTGCAGGAGGGATTGTGACCAAAAGTCCGGGATCAGTGGCCGTGTCTGCGAACCCTAGTGACCTTCAGAAGGAGTTTTCTCAGGAAAGCAGCGTTTGAGGAAAAACCTTCTCCCTCCTGGCCTCGCTGGCTTAATCTGCTGTCCCAGCAGCCGGGCCCGAAGTCCTAAAAACCTAGCCCCACGGCTCGGGATTGGCTGTCCCTGACGTGCTGCCTTGATGATGGAAAGGGGCTAGTTAAACGCCACCGGTGCCCGGCCCGTCTCCCTCTCATGAGGCGGCGGCAGGAGCAGGAGGTGGGGGAGGGACGCCGTGCGTTAGCTGGCATGATGGATTCCCGTGCCACCCACGAGGGGATGGCGCGGATAATGGCCGTTAATGGCCTCTGCAGCACCCCAGTGCCTGTTCAGTGTAACAGCCCTCTGTCTGATGAGCAATACGCTCATTAGAAGAGAGAAGATTGTAAGAGGGTGGGGAGGAGGCTGACTGGATATGAGGCTCCCCAGACTCGGGTCAGCACAGCCCCCACCTGCAGAGGAGAGGCAGGCCCCGGGGGCCTCCGAGGGAGTGGAAACACCCTGACACCCCCCCACCCCCCACCCCCAGCTGTTGGTGTCCTCGCACAGAGCGGAGTCGGAGGCTGGGTTGCTTTAGACAACCCACTGCTCTTTGCCAGGGCTCAGGCCACCCAGCCCGGTACCCATTCCGCCTCTTTCTCCCAACCAGGGCCCCTCCCCCAGAGCAGCAGGGTGGCTGCTGTTTGGCGCAGGGACACAGTGGGAATCCTCGGGGTCCCCACACCCTGGAGGCCCTGGCCCTCCCAGGGAGGCAGCCCCTGAAGCACAGCACAGCCGGTGGCAGTGGCCTTGAGAGGCGTTGGGCCTTGAGAGGGTTTGAGGCGGAGCCCAGCTCGTGAAGGTCACCCCCATCATGTTTGGGAGGTGACATTGTCTGGGCAGCGTCCTCTCTGCAAGTCGTTTGCCTCTTTCCTCCCCTTGATCCGAGAGATAGCCAGCAGCCTGTCCTCCAGAGGCTCTGGGTGACGGCACGGGCAGTTTTCTCCGAGACAGACCTCTGGGCTTAGGAAGTCAACCTCTCACGTAAGAGAAGGTCGCCCAGTCAAGTCTAAAATGCAGCCCAGCCGAGGGGCCCATTCCCAGCAGGCACCGCAGCCCCCGGGGCACTTCTCCTGTGGAGCTGGAGGGAGAGAGCAGCGGGCATCAGGGGGGACCGGGGACACCAAGCACCCTGGCCAGGCCGTCCCGCTGTGGGAGGGGCTGCCTGCCCCCTGGGGGTCTGCAGGCCGTTGGAAGGGGGGGCTGTGGAGGGCGTCTTCTCTAGCCTAGGTGCACCCCAGGGGAGATTTCTAGAACCCCTCAAAGGCAGTGAGCACCAAAGCCTTGTCTCTCCTCAAGTCAGCACCAAGTTGTCAGTTATATGAACTTGCTTTTCACGTTGCCTTTGAAAAGCAGCTGCGCGCCGTGGCCCCGGGACCCTCCGGCACACTCCCCCTCGTCCCTCTCCCGTCTCAGGGCCCAGGCGTCTGACCGTGAGTAAGGCGCTCAGGGTGACAGTAAGCTGGCTTGGGTTCTAGAGAAACAAAAGGGGGAAATGAGCAGCAAAGGAACTGGAAAATCATAGATGTACTGAGCCGGAAGCTTTCTTGTGCTTAATTAGGAATTTGTTCTGCCATCTGTTGAAACCCCAGGCGGGAGGACTGCAGGAGCCCGCCCCAAGCAGGCCCCGGAGCTCAGGGCCAGCCCTGCTTTCTCTGCACCCTCCGCCCTCCCTCAGCCATTAGCCGGAAGCCCCTCGCGCTGCCCCAATGGGACTGAGAGGGCTGGATGGCCTTTTCCAATAGCCACTTGTCGGCGAAAATGTCAGAACACGTAGGACAGGCACCAACCAGTGCTGATGCATTTCTTTTGCTCCCCACACAAGTCCTGGGGAGACGGGGCTGGTCCGTCTGGCAGACCCAGGCTGCAGATGCCTCTGAATTCACCCGTGCAAGGAGGGTCTCCGGTGGCCATACGGTCACTCACCCCCGGCAGCTGCTTCAGGTCAGCCACAGGCTCCCGGGCACACAGCATGGGCTCCGGCCCGGGTGCCACCCCTGCCAGCCTCTCCCTCTGCACCTCCCCCCCGTGTGCGCTTCCTGAACAGGCCAGCGCTGGTCCCCGGGGCAACCCCAGTGCCCTGGAGGAGGCCTGAGCCCCAGAGAAAGGAGAGGCAGCCCCCACACAGAGGTGCCGGAGGCTTCCTCTGTAGCTCCTCCCGTTCTCCCTGTCAGTGGCCAGCAGACCAGGGTCACTCAGAGAGCCGCAGCCCAAAGTGCTGTCCTTCGTGCCCCCAGGCCCAGCGGCTGTGGCTTTAGAGCCCACGCCCCAAGCCACTCAAATGATGAGTGTAGACCAAGCGTGTCAGACTCGCGGCCCGCAGGCAGCGTGCCTCGTGTATGTGGCCCGTGTTAGCCTTTGAGTTTGTCATGCTTGGTGTAGACCTTTCCCGCCTGGGACACTGGCTGGGAGTGTCACTCCTTCACTCCCATTACCAGCTTCCCCCAGAGACGCCAGCAGACGCCTCCCAGCTGGGGACACGGACAGCTGGCTCTGCTCAGGGCGCCCCATTTGGCGTTATTAAAACACTGATTCTTTCTAATAAGCACTGCTCTGCAGCGCGGCTGCCCTCCTCGGTCTGGGTCTGGGCTGCTGGGACCCACAGGGCTGCCTTCCCTCTGATTGTGTATTCAGAGCAGCCACCACGCATGGTGCTCGTCTCCTCTCTCCTCCCTCCTCCGTCTCCTCCTCTCAAAGTGGGTCAGGCATCCTCCCCGCGAGCCGGCGAGCGTCCGCAGATCAACCTGGGCTGCCTTGGGAAGTTCCTCGGCCCTGCCCTCCCACCCGCCCTGGCAGGTGCCCCATATTTGTCCTCTAGTCCGAGGGGGGCGGGGGGTGTAACTTGGTGGCCCAAGTGGCAGAAGGTCTCCTCCTGGGGACCTTCACCCAGGAGGGAACATAGGGCTCTGGTTTCACCTGTCCCCAGAATGATCTGTGGCCGCGTGCTGACCCCCCTGCAGATCCCTGACGATCTCAGCGGAGTGTCTCCTGCTGGGACTGCTCTGATCTGTCACCACCAGCCGCCGGGGTCTCTGTCGGGGCCATCTGTTCACATCCTGTTGGTTCCGCACGCCAGCGTGGTGCACGAATTCCTTCACAGCCTCTCCCTCCGCGCGTGCTCCTCAGAGGGCAGGGAAGGACCCCCTTCCAAAGTGAGGATACCCACCAGCCCCTCTGGGCCACCGTCCAGGGCTCTCCTGGGCCCTGGAGCATCCAGCTTCTCTGGTCACACAGCCCATGGAGGGGATCCAGGAAAACCTTTATGTGTATATTTCATTTTGGTCTTAATTTTATTCTTAGTTTTTGAAAGTTCTCTCTGTAAACGCAGAGGTCAGTTTAAAGGAGAGGAACCCTGGGTTTCTATCTTAAGGCTCTTGGGGTAGAATAGACACGTAATTAAAGTTTGGTGAGGCGTAGGCATCGTGCCAGAAGTGAGCCTTTTCCTTAGCAGCAGGACCAGCCTCCGAGCTCTGCCTGGCATTCCCCCCCGCCCCGCACCCCCTCCCCAGCAGCCCTGGTTGTTGGCAGCTCTGCTGTGTGAGTGGCTGAGACTGGCTGAGACGTGCGCTGATGGCAGGAGGACTCCTTCTCTGCCCAGGAAGTTGATGGGCCAGCTGTCAGGACAGGGGCAAGGGAAGGGAAGATAAGGCCCCAGTAGCTGATGGGGTGAGGCATCTGACCAACAGTAGGTACAGGGGTGCCTCTGCAATGCTGGGCTTTACACGGACCCGGGCAGCTGCAGCCTCGGACGGTCCGGCAGCCACATACGTCTGCAGAGCCAGTGTGGCCCATAGCAGGCCCAGGGCCTGGGAATTGACATTCAGCTCAGGGGATTCCAGGGACTGCATCAAGCCCCCCCCACCCCCCCTCCGGCCTGGCATTCTCTCTGATCCAGCGGCTGCTTAAGAGCCGTCTTAGCTCAGGCCACCATAACATTCCACCACAAGCTGGCGGCTTCAACAACAGAAGTGTGTTTTCTCAGTTCTGGAAGCTGGGAGCCTAAGATCAAGGTGCTGGCAGGGTTGGTATCTGGGGAGGCCTCTTTTTCTGACTTGTCGACGACCACCTTCTCGCTGTGTCCTCATGTGGCCTCTCCGTGCAGGGAGAGAGCAGCTGGCGTCTCTTCCTTCTCTCATAGCACCGGTCCTGTCAGATTAGGGCCACCCCTATGGCCTCATTCCACCTTTCTTACCTCCTTCTAGGCCCCATCTGCAGGTACAGTCACCCGGGGGGTCAGGGCTTCGACACAGAATTGTGAGGAGACCATTCATAACAAGAGGAGTCGGCTGACAGCCTGTAGGAGAGGTGACAGTGCCAGGTTTTCGTTTCCAACCTCAGGAAGATTAGTCCGCCGGCGGCCAGAGGCCCCTCGGCCCATCTCCCGGCGATGACAGACGGAGCGGGCTGTGACAGCCGGGGATGAAAAATGGAGACCCTCCCCTCCCCAGCGCCGCGGGCACGATGCGGAGAGTTGAAGGATGAAGAGGCCCGAACTCTTGATCCCCTACTTAAGACTTGATTGCCTCAGAGACGCCAACGCCTGCCCTTTATCAGCAGCCTCCTCCCGACATTCGGAGGGGAGGCTCTGCGCTGAGTCCTTCGGGATAAATAATGTAGCCGCAGAGCAGAGTCTCCGGCCTGCAGCTTCGTTATGGCAACATCCCTCTCTGCTTCCGGGTGAGGAGGAGGAGGAGGAGGGAGCTGGAGCCCTCCAGAAGCTCAGGGCTGACCCAGCATGGGCTACGAGGGGGGTCAGGTTCAGCAGAAGCCCACGTGGTCCCTTTTTGTGGGTTATTCATACAGCAAGACCAGCCATCTCTGAAGATCTTCAGAAACCTGCTTCATAAACTGGTTTATCTCCAAGAAGCAGAGCCCAGCCAGGGCTGCCCAGCCAGCCCACAAGCCAGTTTCCGCCTGCGTTTCTTACAACCTCTTGGAGATTTAGGGCCGAGAAGCACAAGCCAGCATCCCGGCCGGAGAGCCGTGATTGGGAGACACTCGCATCCGACAACCACTTCTGCCTCCCACGTGCTCACCACTCCAGAGCCTGAGGCCACGGCCAGCAAGAACCAAGCGGGTTCTGCACTGGCCTCTTTCCGAGTTGGGGCTGACCTTGGCCCAGGCCGGGAGGAGCACCAGGTCACGAGGGGACACCCCGAGACGGAGGGCACAGCAGGATCTGAATCTCGCCTTACAGCGGCTGTCCCCTTTGCTCTGACCCCAGTGCCCTGCCTGTGGCGACAGCATCAGCTGCAGCCTCTTGAATAGCTAATCACCAGGCAGCCAGGCCCGGTCTCCCCGGTCTCCCCGGTCTCCCCGCTGCAGCCGCCCGACTGCTCAGCTCAGCTTTATAATCCTTTCTGGCCGAGGACAGACTCCTGGCACAGGGAACTCCACCTCCACCCCCTCCGGCCTTCCCCCGGCCCACCCTCACATCCTGGCCCTGTGCGCACCCCCAAAATAACGAGGCAGACGCCGGGGTCCTGGGCATCCTGTGGAGCGGGGAGGCCCCAAGGGTGTCCTGTCACAGGCCCCCCGGCCCCTCGAGGGTTAAGCCAGCGGCAGCTCCTGGGCTGCGACCTCTAGAGAGGAAGAGGAAGTGGCTGCCGTTCCCCTTGACTGACCAGAGCTGGCGAGATTGGTGGTGTCCCTGGGGCAGCGAGAGTCGCAGGCCCTCAGTGGCGGGAGTGAGCGGCAGGGCAGGCACTGGGGTGGGCTGAGAGTCTGAAACAAATCATTTTATTTATTGGCAATTTTCATAGGCCTGTCCCCTCGCCCCCTCCTTCCTCCTATCCCCGATGGTGGCAGGCAGCTCTGATTTAAAGTAATGGATGGTGTCCCTGTCGGTTCCACTTACCAGTGTCATTGTGGGAAGGCAGAGCGAGGGTCACCCTGGCTTCCTGTGAGTCCCAGCAAAGGGAGCCGGGTGTGCAGAGACCACAGCCTCCACCCGGGGGAGCTCAGAGCCCCTGAGGGGCCAGCTGGCAGCCCACTGCTCCCTTATGCCTGTGTCAGTCACCAAGAAAGGGCAGGTGTCACCCTGGGCTTTACCTGCTGGTGTGGGAGGTGAACAGGACATGGGGAGGGGACGCCCAGTGCATTCATAAGATCCATAGCAACTGCTGACCTGCTTCAAATGTGGCTGTCAGGGTCACGTGCATTGAACAGTTCTTGCTCCTGGGGCTCCAATCCCTTAGGGGTGCCCCCAGACCAGACACTGTCGGGTGGGCTGCCTCCTCTGCTGCTGACACCCTCTCGTTTGTTTGTTTTGCAGCTTTCGCCATCATGATCGTGCTGGCCCTGGTCCGCATCGGACGCGGGCGCGGGGAGGGGCACCCGCCCCTGGCCGACCTCTCCGGGGTCCGGAACCTGTTCGGGGTGTGCGTGTACTCCTTCATGTGCCAGCACTCCCTGCCGTCCCTCCTCACGCCCGTCTCCTCCAAGCGCCACCTCACGCGCCTCGTCCTCCTGGACTACGTGCTGATCCTGGCCTTCTACGGCCTCCTCTCCTTCACCGCCATCTTCTCCTTCCGCGGCGACAGCCTCCTGGACATGTACACCCTCAACTTCGCGAGCTGCGACATCGTGAGCGTGGCCGCGGTGCGCTTCTTCCTGGGCCTCTTCCCCGTCTTCACCATCAGCACCAACTTCCCCATCATCGCCGTGACCCTGCGCAACAACTGGAAGACGCTCTTCCACCGCGAGGGCGGCACGTACCCCTGGGTGGTGGACCGCGTGGTGTTCCCCACCATCACCCTGGTGCCCCCGGTGCTGGTGGCCTTCTGCACCCACGACCTGGAGTCCCTGGTGGGCATCACGGGGGCCTACGCAGGCACGGGCATCCAGTACGTGATCCCCGCCTTCCTGGTGTACCTCTGCCGCAAGGACACCCAGCTGGCCCTCGGCCCCCGGGCCGCCAACAAGCACAGGTCCCCGTTCCACCACACCTTCTGGGTGGGCTTCGTGCTGCTCTGGGCTTTCTCCTGCTTCTTCTTCGTCACCGCCAACATCATCCTCAGTGAGACCAAGATCTGATGGCGGGCATGTCTGCTGACGAGAGGGGTGGGGGCCCCGCCGCGTCCCCCGCCTGCAGAGACCGTGTCCAGTTGCCTCCCAGGTCTCCCTCCACAGGGTGGGTGAGGCCAGGCTCTGGGAGGGGACCCTGCACATCTAGCTGGGATCACCCCACTCCAGCTTCCTTCCGCCCAGCCTGCACCTCACTGCACAAGGCTCTCCCAGACTCCAGGACCGGCTCCCGGAGTCACCCCCTGCTTTACACACACGCCCCATCACCCCGCCATGGGCGGGCTCCTCTCCCTGCTCCGTGGAGACGCAGCGCTGGCACTGCCACTATTTATACTAGTCTCCCTGTCCCCTACTCCCAGCCCTCCCGCCTCCTGGTCTGGGAAATCCACTTCATAGACGCTGCCTCCTCAGGATGAACCCCGGGCCCCAGCCCCCCTCCCCACTGGGCCTGCCAGTGACTCCTCGGGGAGGGCCTGGCCCGCCCTGATGACAAGAACAGGAGGTGCTGATGGGCACCAGGTTCCCCAGACCAGGGCTGTGAGGCCCCTGCTGTGGGCACCAGCTCCTGCTCGGGGCTCCTGAGCCACCACAGCACAGAGCAGCCCTCCCACAGGCGCAGCAGCACGTACAGATTTAGAGCCCAGAGCTGTGACCCCTGGAAGGGTCCTCTGCTCTCTGACTGCCCTGCTGGGGCGCTCGGGGCCTCCTGCAGGGCAGGGGGCAGTGTGTAAGGGCCAGTAACGGGGAGCTAGCCCCACCACCACAGCTGCGACTTGGGGGCACCACGGCATGTAGCAGTGTGTGGCCTCTGTGGTCCACCCTGTAGGCAGCCAGGCCTGCCCGGCCCCTGCCCCTGCCCCGGCACTGACGGTGCCAGGCTGTGGGTGCTCAGTGCTCACACACTGCATGTCCCTTGGGCGCCATGGGGTGAGCTGGAGCACAGGCCACCGTTCCCATGGAGGGACGGCCGGGGTCCCACCCACCTCCCCGCCGTCATGCATGCACCTCCGGGCAGCCTTCCCGGAGCAGGTGACTGATGAACTCTGCATTTCAATGTGCCTTCTGCTTCAGGCCTGGGCTCCTCTGACCTTCCTGCTGCCCCCGCCCTGGGCCTGCCCTCACCTGTCCCGGAGCCCCGGCAGCTGGGCCAGGAGCTGCCTCTGAGCGGGGCTCTCAGGCCCCTGCCCCTTTCTCTCGATTTCAGTGCCTTGCTCAGCCCTCATGAGGGAACTTCCGCTGCCTCCCCCGCATTGCACCAGCTTTGTATCGTGGACAGAGTGGCGACACTGGGTGTCCTGGGGCCCGTGGTGGTCTTAGGGGCAAAAGGACACGGAGTCCACTGGCAGCACTAGCCCCCACCTTTGGCCCAGCCTGTGAGAACCCTGTGACCCACTTTCTCACTGTGGTCCCACGTCTTCCGATCTCATCTTGTCCCCGTGTGTCATCGTTTTCCATTCACCTCCATCTGCCGTTGTGGCTTCTTTCCAGGAGGCCTGGCCTGAGGTGGGCAGAGCAGGGAGAGCCTTGAGGTTGACCAGCCCGGTGGTGCCGGGCCTCCCTGGAGCTGCCCCGCTGCTGACAACTCAATTAAAACATCTGGACTTACCTTCTCCGTTGCGTTTCCTTTTGCTTAAGGACAAAGCAAATTAAATCACCCTGCTTCCCCGGCGCCACCCCAAATTCTGGATGTGAGTGTATTAGCGTCATAAAGCCCAGGTTGATTTATGTGGCAATCTGGAGCCACAGCGGTGGAGTCTGTTGGCCGCAGTTCCCTCCACGCCAGGCAGCCCCGTCCTGGAGGGAATTGGCCCGAGGTGACCACATCACTGATAGCAAGCCGGGTGCACCCCACTGCCACTGTCTGGGCTCCGAGTCCTGCTCTCTGTGCCGAGGTCAGATGGGGTCACAGAGCCACGGGGCCCGGTGGAGGGAGAGGACACGTCCCAGGGGATGCTTGCTCACCGTGTGCATCAAGCACATTTGTCACATCTGCTGGGTGAGGCGGGCAGTTGGGTCATGGTTTCCACTTTCTAGAAGGGCCCCAGGGGGTCGGGGGTGGGAGGGCAGAAGAGGAGGCCGGCCCGGCCTGGCCCAGGTGCAAGCTTCACTGTGGAGGAGACTGAAGACTCCACAGCCTTCACACAACATCCTCTGCCCACCGGCCCCGAGGTCAGGCCAGGCCAAGGTGGGAGCTGGCGTTCTCTGCCCCGTCCCCTGCCGAAGCCCTGGAGCTCCATGCCAGCAGCTCCTGCTGCTCCCTCACCTGCGGCCAGAGAGGCCGCTTCGGGCGTATGGACGGGGCAGGTGGCCGGCTGGGAGGCCCTGCTGAGCGGTGGAAGGTGGGCAGTGGGCGCCTTGCCAGGCCCTTAGTCACACAGCTGTTCTCGCCACAGGGGCTGGGAGCAGCCCCAGCAACAGGCTGAGGCTAAGCCCACAGAGATAAGGACAGGGCTGCCCCTCAGAGGGAACCAGCCGAGGGCGAGAACCGAGCAGTGCCAGGCTCTAGGGCTGGGAGATGGGGACGCGGGCACCAGGCCTGCCAGGGGCTTGGGTCCTGAGCAGGACTGAGGCCTGGCCCCGCCATGCTCATGGCCGCTGGAAAGCCTCTTCCAAGGCCGAATTCAGGGCTGCGGGGGCCACAGACCCCAGACTCGCTGAGAACGCCCTGTTAGGGTCCCCAGGCACCTGTTGGTTTCATAGCCTCCTAATTAGTCAAGTGTCTTCTGGTGACAGCTGCCTGCTACAGTTCAGAAACGGGCACTGAATTCTCGGGATCTAGGGGGCTTTGGGAGGGCGTGGTCTCTGGATCCCCAACCCCAGGAAACTTGACAGCCGTCTCCTTTCAAAGAGCCAGGCTGGGAAGGGAACCAAGGCCTGTACTCACCGCCTCCCACAACCACATCAAAACTACAACTAAAATACAGGACAACCATCATTCAGAACCGCCGTAGAGCCGGCGGAACGGAAGCTCTACAACTAGAGAAGAAAAGGAGAAAGCACTTCAAGACCGGTGGGAGGGGCGGAGCCCCGGAACCGGCTGGTCTGACCCCCTCATGCGCCTTTTTCTAATTGGGAGGGAGGTCGTCTATGCAGAGGCCCCCCATGAGGAGCAAGCGGTCCGAACCCCACACCAGCCCCCCAGCCCAGGCTCCCAGAGCTGGGAAATGAAGTCCCCGTAACTACAGGCTGAAAAAACCAGCAGGGCCGAAACCGGTTTGGCTCAGTGGATACAGCGTCGGCCTGCGGACTGAAAGGTCCCAGGTTCGATTCCGGTCAAGGGCATGTACCTGGGTTGCGGGCACATCCCCAGTGGGAGATGTGCAGGAGGCAGCTGATTGATGTTTCTCATCGATGTTTCTAACTCCCTATCTCTCTCCCTTCCTCTCTGTAAAAAAATCAATAAAATATATTTAAAAAAAAAAAAAACCAGCAGGGATTTGGGGGCTGAGAGACACGGAGGCTGCTGGAGACAGCTGTTCCTTTTAAAGGGCTGGCACATGAGCTGAACTTACAAGGTCCCGCTTCCTCTGAGCTCCAGCACCAGGGCGAGGCTCTGGAGAACCCAGACACAAACAGGGAGGAACTAGATTGGCATCAGGGCAGGAACTCGGGTGCGGCTTTCTCCCAGATGGAGATGCTCCCAGAGGTCATTGTTCCTGTGCTAGGACCTCCCAGGTCTCAGGGCTGACTGGCAGCCATCTCTGTTTGCTCTGCCCTGGTGACTCCCTGAGACCCCGCCCCACCCAATTTACAGCCCCACCCAACCTGTTTGCATATGACTGGCCTAGCCTTGCTCAGGCTTCGACTGCTGAAACCTCTAAACAAGCTGCAGCTGGCTCAGCGCGCCCCAAGCCGATCAGTAAAAGGCCCAGGACCCAGCACTAGCAGGAGCCTGCCTTGCTTCCCAGCTGGGCCTCCTCTGGGCACCTCCAAGCCCAATACAAATAGCTCCTGTAGGGCGGCCCCAGGCAGGGGCTGACTGCACCTCCCTGGAGGCCCTAGAGCCGGTGCACCCCGCGGACAGCTTCAGACCATAGCAGGTTACAGCTCTACACGTCCATGAGTGACACACTCAAGGGGCAGACTCAGTGATCACCAAAGTCCCACTGAAGCAAGTCCTGCCTCATAGAGGTGTTTCCTACACAGCAGCGCTCCCACTGTAGCTGCAACTGGTCCTCACAGCCGCCAGTTCCTCCCAGTGACACCAACAGCAATCAAGGCTCAACGACAAGACTGTGTACACAGCCCACACAGGGACTTTCAAGGATCTTAGTGAGAATGTCAAAGACATGAGAAAGAACCAGTCAGAAATGAAGCAAGCACTAACTGAAATAAAGAATAACTTACAGGGATTCAACAGTAGCGTAGAGGAGACTGAGAATCAAATCAATGATGTGGAATATGAGGAAGCAAAAAAACACCCAATTAAAAGAACAACAAGAATCCAAAAATATGAAGATAGTGTAAGGAGCCTCTGGGACAACTTCAAGCATACCAACATTTGCATTATGGGGGTGCCAGAAGGAGATGAGAGAGAGCAAGATACTGAAAACCTACTTGAAGAAATAATCACCTGGTGAAAGAAATAGACTTACAAGTCCAGGAAGCACAGAGAGCCCCACATCAAGACACATCATAATTAAAATGCCAAGGGCTAAAGACAAAGAGAAAATCTTCAAAGCAGCAAGAGAAAAGCAATTAGTTACCTACAAGGGAGTACCCATACGACTGTCAGCTGATTTCTCAACAGAAACTCCGCAGGCCAGAAGGAAGTGGCAAGAAATATTCAAAGTGATGAATAGCAAGGGCCTATAACCAAGATTACTTGACCCAGCAGAGCTCTCATTTAGAATTGAAGGTCAGATAAAGAGCTTCACAAACAAGAAAAAACTAAAGGAGTTCATCACCACCAAACCAGTATTGCATGAAATATTGAAGGATATTCTTTAAGAAGAGGAAGAAGAAGAAGAAATAAAAATATGAACAATAAAATGGCAACAAATACATATCTATCAACAACTGAATCTAAAAATCAAAATAAACAAGAAATCTAACAAACAAAATAACCTGGCGAATAAAATAGAATCAGAGGCCTGGAAGCATGGAATAGACAGATGAATCTCAGAGGGGAGGGGGGGAGGGGGTGGGAAGAGATTAACCAAAGATCTTACCTATGAACACAGACAGTAGGGTGGTGAAGGCCTGGTGCAGGTTGGGAACCGGGTGGAGGGGGAGCAAGTGGGGGGATAAGGGGGGGCAACTGTAACACTCTCAACAATAAAGATTAAAAATAATAATAAACTATAAAACAAAGAGTCAGACTGAAGCTAGGTCTCCTGACCAAGGACATCATGCCTGTTCTTTTCTAAGCTCTGCGCCCTCCCCCCACACACATCTCAGAAAGACAGAATGGGGCCCAGCGACAGCAGCAACAGGAGGGAACAGGTGAGATAGTGAGGATGCCCTGTTCCTGAGACCAGTGACCAAGGGCCTCTCCTGGGTCCCGCCAGCGTTGGGGTGTCTGTCTGGGTGGACCCACCTTGCTCTTTGCCACACAGGCCCTTGTGTATGATGATTGGACATCTCCGGCCTCCCTGACATGGTCAGCCCCCTCCTCCCTCCTGCCAGGCTTCGTCCCCTCCCCTGGATAGTGCAGGACCCTCCTCGTTGCCCCCTCGGAGGGGCAGGAGGCTGGGAAGCCAGACCAACACAGCTCTGAAGCTGCAGAAAGCGTCCTTCCTGCCCCTACTTCCCATCAGGCTCGCTTGTCCCCAGAATTCATTCCTAGAGAAGGAACGAGGCGGCCAAGAGCCTGGCCCCAGGAGCAGGACCGGCACCTCCTTGGAGCCGGCCAACAGCAGGCTCAGTTCCACATTTGGCCCTTAATTGTCTTTCCAGCTCTTGGTTATTAATGATCCTGGGCACCGAGCGAGCGAGCGGAGAGCAGCCTGGACCTCGTGACTCCTCCCAGCCCCACCTGCTGCTGCCTTCAGCCCAGGGCTGTGCTCAGACCCCAGGGGTAGAAGGGGTCAGGCTGGTGGCCAGCAGTTAACCCTCTCACCACCAGTGGCTGCCACCAACGTCAAGCTCCCTTCCAGGTGCTGGCCTGGCACTCACCTAGACTCGTACCCACCGCCTGAGACAGAGCCCCAGTCCTGGACCTGGGTCCATGAAACGCCAGAAGGCAGAGAACAGGAGACTGACAGCAACGGGCCGGCCGCCCGTCCGGGGGGTGTCAGGCTCTCCGGCCAAGAATGGGAGGGGTTAGCAATGTCCCACACACTACCGCTTCAGCTCTAAAAACCCAACAGAACATGGCCAGGTTTCGTGGCCCAGTCCCAGCAGTGGAGCCTGGAGACTGACGAGGGGGCGTGAGGAGCTGTGTGGGAAAGGGCACTGGGCAGGGGCCGCTCGCGGTGTGGGCATCCAGCTGTCCTCCCGGCCTCCTCCCCCCTCCATGGGGCTAATTTCTGCCCTGCCTCACTGAACTTGAACTTGTCGAGAATGGCAAGGCCTCAGGCTTTCTATGCTCTGCAGTTAAGGGGCCTGATGGCAGCCATCACGCTCACCGGGTTCGTGTTTGTGGAATGAATAGAAGAACGAGTGCCTG